CATTGAATGAATTCTCAAACTTTATCATCTGTCATTTACATGCAGCATATTTGTTTCCCCAAAGTTTGAGTTTTTCCCTCACAAGAAAATTTTAATTATTTGCAAATTACATGCATGGGGTTCGGTGAGATAAGCTAAAATTCAAGGAGGGTTTTGCAAGACACCCCATAGTTCAGGGGGTTTATGTCAGATAAACAAAGTTCAATGGGGTCATGTGCAACACCCCCGTATGTGAAATTAATCATAAATTCTAATATAAACTACTATATTGTTTTTCTTATCCAACATTTTCTGATCTGTAGAGTGCGGAACCTCTTGTGCATTTCTTACAATACGTTTCACATCATCACCTTCAAGCCCTGAAAACTTGTCCTCGCCAAAATCATAGGATTGGATGAATACCATTGTAGACAGACACCTGGAAATGGTTAAATTTGCAGACATGTAATTGTAGTTTATCAAAAATTACCACCCTTGTCGTCATCCTTCAATCCGTGATCACATTGTTACTTTTACAGTAGAAACAACCTGTACTGCCTGTGACAGTGATTAGGTTAACCTCCTCGAAGATTATACATTTGATTCACCAAGAAAACTTATTTGCGAGCATCTTATAGTGGTTCCCTGATTGATGTGCTTCTGTCTGGTAACTCTTGCTCATCTTCAATAGAAGTCTTAAGTTATCAATGACGCTATCAAATTCAATATTCTATACCGTGTCAAATCAATGGAGTTGCCTTTCATAATGCAGAGTGTGACAGAACTTCACGATGGTTCAGCATTGTTCATCACTGTGGCTAAGTATTTGTCACCGGCACTACATGACATTGATCAGGTTGGCATTGCACCAGACGTGCAATGCACTCCGGATTTGTTAACTTCTTCTTCAAGGTCATCATCATCATCCATATCTAAGGATAAAGGCCCAGGTTCCTCCTTGGAGGCAGATTCTTGCATCCTGGTGGCAGAGCATGAGTTGGAAGTCCAAAAATCCAAGGGGACAGCTTCTTGATACTGCATTCACCAAGAATTGTGTATTGTACGGTCCACTGGTGTATATGATAGAAAACAAATGTATGTGTGTGTGAATACCCATTGATAGAAAACTATTCTATGAATACCCATTGATAGAAAACTATTCTATGTATATTAGATGTAACAGGATAGCATACAGGCGAAAGATATCCTTTAAGAAGTTAGTGCTAAACTTTTAGTTGTGTGAGTAATATCCATGTAGAGTCGAAATTAATGGTATAAACAAGTAGTGTATTGTGTACAGGTGTATGTGCTCGTAAGCAACGATGTGTTTAAGTCGAGAAAGTTTCTGGCCTTCATGATCACGAGTTTTGGTCATAGACCACATAAATATTTTTGTGGAATCAAGCATAACTGCATATTTGAGTCAACAGTGAACTACTACAGTCTCTATATTTAAGTTCTTTCTGTTCTTACATGACACCAAGATGAGTAAGTGCCAAATGACACAAACTTAAACATCATTTTTGCTTTTGTCCCCCGTTTGTCCTCGTACAGGTCTAAGGCCACATACTGAAGTTGTAACATTAGTCTCTTTTGATAAATCTAATGGTATATGGGATACATGAGATAAACACTCCATACATAAATAGGACTTTATTGCAGATGGACTGTATTAAAATGTTTGAAATTTTGAAAGACATAACAACAATTCCAATAGCAGATATGGTCTTTGTTCACATTCAAAATCTGAGCTTTCCCCCCATATGTTAATATGAAGAACCTTGTAATGCTTTGCTCACAAATGTAAATCAGTTGACATCATTTTCCATAAAAAAAAATAAGTAAAAGACATTCTATAGAGAACAGGCTCACAAATGTAAATCAGTTGACATCATTTTCGATAAAAAAAAAAAAATAAGTAAAAGACATTCTATAGAGAACAGGATAAGTATTTATCTTCTTCTGTTGTCCCGATAAGGTCCTTCGCTCTCTTGGTCTTTAAGTAGACCTAGGAAAGCAAGAAAGCCAAAGAAGAAGAAACCTCCAGACCAGTTAGGCCCTCCTCCCCCACCACCACCACCGCCACCATCGTCATCCCGTGGTGGTAATCCTGTGCCTCCATCATCAAGCTCAGGTGCCTTCTCCTTACCTGAAAGCCAACCATTTTCAATATTTCTCATTAATTAATTAAAACCCTACTCCTCTGGTGGCAAAAATTTTGCCTACACACTAATACCAACTTTATATTTCTTAAATAGGTGGCAAGTTATAATCTATTCCACAATAAGAGGCTTACAGGACTCAAAAGATGAGTTACAAGTCTAGAAATGGTAAATTTTTTTCACCATTTGAGAGGGATGTATTGGATTTACCTTGAGTTGGAGCAATAGTAATTGTTGATGACTGGCGTGTCACTGTTTGCGTCTGACCTTCTGCACACCTCGCATTCTGCAGAAGAAGAAAAAAATCAATAAATTCATATATATTTTCTCCACTCTTTAACACTTGGAAGTCATATAGAAAGTAAGCTTTTCAGGAAAAAGAAAATTGAAGAAAGAGTACAAGCAAACAATGACAATAAAAAAATGAAACCTACATCCACAATCTGATGATTCTAATTTAAAGTAATAGCTAAGGCAAAAATATCCAAACATATAGAGATAAACATCCTCTGTCTCCAAGAACATCCTCGTAGTTCTGTGAGGTATATAAACTAAAGGACAAAGGCTGCATTCAAGGGACAAGAATAGTACATGAGACCGACAGCAAAGGACGCAAAGAAAATATCAATTTGCCATATATTTTCCAAAAATATTATGCTAATTCTAACATAAGGTTGAACATCAAAATATTATGCTAATTCTAACGTAGGTTTTCCACCAGATGGCAAGCTATTCCACTAACATAGGACAGTTTCGGCGCTTTTATGAATATTAGAATAACTGAGATGTAGACGAATTAAATAGCGGATTCTTTATCTTGCTTTTATATACATGTAAAAGCTATGTACCAGAGCAGCAGCACGTATCAAACTTCTTGATGGCAGTCGCCGTGCACAAGAACTAGAGTGTGCAACCCAAGGTTGGATACAGGGCATTGCCATACCATGCCTTGTCAGTTGGAGGTGCCTATTCTTCTGAATCTCAGTATTCCCTGAAAGAATAAGGTAGTCAAAGGTTTTGCTTGGAGGTACCAATAGAAAATACAAAGAAACCATTGAGACTAAAAAATCAACAAACTATAATAGGAAGTCAATATGCATGCAGCAATTGCTAAGAAGTTAAAAGTGTAATATCACCATAATAGTGGAAAGAACCAGGAGGTCCCCATGGTAGGAGAAATCTGAAGATTGACTCGATTAAGTCTGTCTAGGTAAAACTATCATTTCATAGAGGTCAATTTGCAAAAGATGTTTACTAAGATTTCACATATTAGTCTTTTTTACCATTATCCTTATAGATCACCTGTCCTTACTAAAAGTTGAATCAAGTTTTCTTCGAAGGTGTGATTTATTTCAAATTTCTACGACTCAAAGCAGAATAATAAATTTTGATTCCATTAAGCTCATTTTCGGGAGACTGATGCATTAAAGATTAGATCCACGATATCTAGTCAGCTTTTCTTGCAATGCATTCAAAGTTCTTGCTTTTACTCAGGATTTTATCCATGGTTATTTCTCAAAACATTAAGTACTCTATTTGAAATGTTAAATAAAGCAAACCTGTAGTACAAAGTATTACATTAAGCGGTTCATTATCTGAAATAAAGCTTTTATTTAGTAAGTGTAATGTTCTCACTGATGCTTTCAGATGAACACTAGAGCATTACAAGCAATTTGGGACAGGAAGTTGAAATACGTCTGTAATTAACCAAAGATTCACCACTCTACAACACTAGCACAATCTTTAGGTTTCTCTTAAGGGCATGTCTGGTTGGTTACTTAAAATTCAAAGAAAAGGAAATGGTGGGGAGGAAACCATAATGGTTTCCTCCCATTTCCATAAAAAAACCATGAAAGAGATTTCTTGAGTTATAGGTCACATCAGCCAATAAGAGGGTGTCATGCTATGTTGCCTAGGTACGGGTACGGGTACGGGTACGGGTACGGGTGCGAGTGCGGGTACGGGACACGGCAAATTTGTAAAAAGTAGGGTACGGGGACACGGCTATATATATATATATAAAATAATTCACTTTAGATCAATATTCCAAAAGTTAAAACTATATTCCTTGCATAGGAAATAGAATAGAAAGATCTTTTTACTTTAATTAAAAATTTAGAACTAATATTATTACCTAAATCTAAGTTGCATGGAAACTGGTACTGGTACGGGTGCGGGTACCACCGTACGGATAGGGGACACGACAAAACTGTAAAATGTTAGGTACGGGTTCAAACTACATATATATATTGAATTAATAATGTACATGAGATAATTTTTTTCTGTTTCATGTGTCATTAGAATTAAAATTTCGATCACATTTTTGAGTTTATTTTATCATAATGATTATCGTGAATTGTAAACTACACATTTTTTACTAGACATCTAAACAACCCATTAACTATATAGTTTTGAACTTGGGTATGGACTGAAACGAATTTTACTAGACATCTAAACAACCCATTAACTATATAGTTTTGAACTTGGGTATGGACTGAAACGAACCCGACCCGTATCCCATTAGTTTCAAAAGACGGATGTGAAGTGTAAGCTCTACGTCCAGGAAGTCTTTGACAAGTGTTTTAAATTAACACATATATCGTATAATTGAGTACATGTTGTAATAAATACATGCATATATTCAAGAAGTGTTCATGAAGTTTGGGTACCGGAAAGTGTCGGGTACGTGTCCGGTACGGGTACGGCTTCAATAATGAAGTACCCGGGTAACATAGGTGTCATGTCACCCTTCTGCTTGGTTTCAAGATGTGAACTAAACAAGCATCAGGAAAGTGTCATAGGAACTAAATTTCATATAACACTTTTCTTTCTTTCTTTCTTTCTTTTTTTTTTTTTTGGTTTTTGAGCAACGAGAAAGCCCCTAAAAGGAAATAAGTATAAGAGGTCAATCATATACAATCACATTTGTGCCGCATGGAGTGAAAAGGAAGAAAGATGATAGACGATTATTATGAATTTCATAATGAGAAGTCATACTCAATTTTTATAGGCATATAAGAACAACCAAAACCGTATTTGTTAGGATACTCGCTCTCGATACACATAATACAGAATTGAATCCCTTCATGAAGTAAACATAAAGGATATGAATAAAATAAACATAGCTACATCCATTAGGCTTTTCAATCCTTTGAGAAACTTGAAAAGATAGTTTCCTTCTTCCATTGCTTTCTTTCAGCCGTCAGTAACTTGTTTAAGAGGGTTAGGGATATTTAATGAATGTTTGTCTCTGCTATTGGAAGATTCATTGCATTGATTGGAAGATCTCATATTACATATGGCCTTCTATGAAGATGTCTACATTAGATGTAGTAGTTAATTACATTAGTTAATTATAGTATTTCTCTATGTATGACTTCTCTCTATATAGGTCTTCTATTAGAGCTTTATTTTATTAGGATTCTACAAAGTGTATAAGTATGAGGTATAACCATAGGCGGATTTAGCATGGGGGCAATGGGGACAATTGCCCCCACTAACCGTAGTAAATTTTTAGTAGCAATCATGGTTTTAAATATCGACCGATAATCCGATATTATCGTCGAGTTATCGGATTTGGGAGCTTTCCGCTAGGATAAGTAGGATTTTTAATCGGTTATTGTTTTTTGAGGTTTATCGGCAAGTTATCGGCGATAAAGACACTTATCGGCCGATAAGTAGGCTCTAAATATCGGCTTTATCGGCCGATAAGTAGGATTTTGGAGCTTTTACTTTTTTTTGGATTTGCTCTTTGAATGTTTACAAATATATGAACTATTTGTTGCTTTTGGAACTTGGTTGATTGGTGATTAGCTTATGTTTGTTTATGGATATTGATAATGGCTCATAACTACTAAATATGAACGTAGTA